GTGGCATTATAGTTTACCAATGCTTGTGTTTAATGTTGCAATACTTCACGTGACTAAACACCCAAAAAAATGTTAAAAAATAGGTGGCATCATTGACTAGCAAGTATGTTGTGGAACTCTATCATGGGCAAGGATGTGACCCATTTCATCACCTATTCATGTTCGACATTAACAAGTCATGTACCAAAATCACATCTAAGTAGGAGTGAGCAAGATGGACCGTCCAAACCTAGATTGGACCGGACTGAACGGTTTGGTCCGGTTCTCTAGAATATCGGTCCGGTTCCTGGTTCCTAAAAGTTGAATCGGTTTCCGGGTGGTCCGGTTCCCAGTTCTAGAGTGGGAACCGGACCGACCGGACTGGACCGATAAATATATTTTTTTTTCTAATTTTTTCATATATATTTATTTACTTTTTAAAATTTTTGAAAAAAATAGAAAGCCTAATCTAAATTCCCCATTTTCCTTTTGCCTTTACCAATAAGTGATTGGTCTCATTGGAACCGGACCGAACCGGACAGTCCGATCCGGTCCAGGGTCCCAAGACTAGCCGGCTCGATCCCCGGTCCTAGAAACTAGGAACCGGTTCTCCCGGTCCGGTTTCCGGTTCTTGGGTTGGATTGGGCTGGACCGAGAACCGCTCACCCCTACATCTAAGTATTGGGACCAAAAATCTGAACTTTTAGAGACCGAGGGTTAAGTTGCAAAATTATAGAATTTTATGATCTGTTAGGGAAATGAGGAGGGGTGAAAATGGAGGAAATTGTCCAATCAATCTTACTCTTATCGTACAGATAATAATTCAATCCTAAATTTTTTATTTTGCTAATTTAATCCTAAATCTTTGTGCAAAATTTCATTATTATTCTTCTAGCCAATTTTCATCGAAAATCACTGACGTGGCGATGTGAATGACTGGACCGTTACACCAGTGATTCTCGCAAAAATTAACTAGAAGGGCTACATCGAAATTTCGGGAAAAGTGTCAAAAAAGTGCTAAACCTTTTGCATTTGTGCCAATTTAGTCATAAATCTTTTTTTGGTGCCAATTCAGTCCTAAACCTTTTGCATTTGTGCCAAATTAGTCCTAAATCTTTTTTTGGTGTCAATTCAGTCTTAAACCTTTTGCATTTGCGCCAATTCAGTCATAAACCTTTTTTTTGTGTCAATTCAGTCCTTCCGGTCAATTTTGGCCGAATTTTACTGAATTAGACAAATTTAATAATATTTTAATATTTTTTTGAAATTTTATTTATTTATTATTATTATTTTTTCCTCTCCCCTCCCTCCTTACTCCAGCCGATCGTTAGACTAGCGACTGGCTAGAGGCCGGCGCCGGCGAGGCTCGCCCTCGCTGGCCACTGGCGAAGGCGAGCCTCGCCATGGCTTGGCGAGGCCTAACCTCGCCGGAGCTGGCGAGGTCGGGCCTCGCCATGGCTGGGCGAGGTACGACCTTGCCAAATCCGGCGAGGTCAAGCCTCGCCGACCTTTGGTCGGTCGCTAGTCCGGCGATCAGCCGGAGAAAGGGGAGAGGGGAGGGGGAAAAAAAAGAGAAAATAAAAAAATAAATAAAAATTCAAAAAAAATTAAAATATTATTAAAGTTGTCCACGTCAGCGCCGGTGACTGGCCACTGGCCGGTCGGAGTTCACATTAGCAAAATCCGGCCAAAATTGGGCGGAATGATTGAATTGGCACAAAAACAAAAATGTTTATGACTGAATTGACACAAATACAAAAGATTTATGACTTAATTGGCACTAAAAAAAAGGTTTATGACTGAATTAACACAAATGCAAAAGGTTTAGGACTAAATTGGCACTAATATAAAAGGTTTAGGACTTTTTTTACACTTTTCCCTAGGAATTTCGCACGAATGTTTTATGATTAAATTGACAAAAGTGAAAAGTTTAAGACTGAATTGGCATCCGCACAATATATTTACAACCGATTGGATAATTTTCCCGGTGATAATGTTATGTGGGTGTGAAAATATGATGGATCGTGAAACTTTCGCGAGATAAAAATGTAAACGGGTCCGTCGAGTTCACGTTAAACCGAGTCTTCGATGAGAAAATTCACAACACAGAAGAAGGAGAAGGATCATCATGAAAAGGACAAAACCCAGCTGCAAATTCATGAGCATCCGCAAATAAAAAATCTCCAGCAAATCATTCAAGATAGGATCTACTGATAAGCAATTTTGCTGAAGTAGGGTTTCGAGTAAGCTTTGGTATGATGACATAGATTTTGGCAGCAATTTCATCATTAATATCAACGGCTCCCTTTCTTTGTTGTCCCTACCTTACCATAATCTAAGTTTTGTCGCCTTAACATAGTGAAAGGGAAAGAATGCTTTGGTTTGCTTTCTTTGGCTTTAGAATGTATAGAGAAAATTTCAACAAAAAATATATATATACTAATATTTGCACACGGATATCATATACAATCTCCGGTTTTCGAAACTTGAGAAAATTAACGAAATTTTTGGAGTGGCATTTCAAGTTGCGTTTAGATTGTAATCCTACTAACAGATGTCACTTTCCTTTCCAATTTTACTCCTTCCATCGTTCTAGACCCACCTAACCAAAACCTTAAACTAGCTCGGCCTTCCTCCTCGACCATTGCTGCCGTTGCCACCCACCATCCCGGGCCGAGCCACAGCCTCGTCACCGATATCCACCCTCGACCGAAGCTTGTCCCTCTGTCGATCCCCATCGTTCTCTATGTGACGACCCCCTCTATCTCTCCTCGTCCCTTTGTTCTTGCCACTCTCTGTCCAATGTTGGCTTTAGCATCGGGGGCGACACGTAGAGGTGTCAAAATGGGTCTTAAACCCATATATGACCCATTTAAAAATAAATGGGTCATATATGGGTCACTTTAATTTTAAAAAGTCAACCTTAAATGGGTTTTAAATTTTAAAACTTAAAGATAAATGGGTTTAAATGGGTTGAGTTTGAAACCCTTGTCCAACCCATCTACTAGTCTAGTAAATGGGTTAAGTACTAGATCCATCCACACACTCTCTCCCTTTTTACAAAAATGTTTAAAAAAAATCGAAATTTAATTATTTTTTTTCTCCTTTTCTTTTATTTTTTCTTTTCTCTTCTTTCTTTTTCTTTTTTTTTTTATTCCGGCCGGTGGTCGGCCACTGCGATCGGCCACCGGGGCGGGACGACCTCGCCGGAGGCCGGCGAAGCTCGAGCTCGCCGGCCTCGAGCGAGACTCGAGCCTCTCCGATCTGGCGAGCCTCGAGCTCGCCCAATTCCGGCGACCTCGAGGCTCACCCAATCCCGGCGAGGCTCCAGCCTCGCCGACCTGTGGCGAGGCTCCAGCCTCGTCGATCTGGCGAGACTCGAGCTCGCCGAATCTGGCGAGGTGGAGCCTCGCCCAAGGCCGGCGAGACTCGAGCTCGCCGGCCTCGGGCGAACTCGACCTCGCCCAAGGCTGGCGAGCTCGAGCTTCGCCGGCCTCGAGCGAGGCTCCACCTCGCCAGATCCGGCGAGCTCGAGCTCGAGTCTCGCCAGATCGGCGAGGCTGGAGCCTCGCCTGAGGCCGGCGAGGCTGGAGCCTCGCCTGAGGCCGGCGAGGCCTCGGCCTCGCCAGATCGGCGAGAACGAGCTTCGCCGGCCTCCAGCGAGCTTGTCCTCGCCTGTGGTCGGTCGCCGGCCACGGCGGCCGGCGATCGGCCAAAAATAAAGGAAAAAGAAAAAATAAAAAATAATTAAAAATTCGATTTAAAAAATAAAAAAATATTAATTTTTTTTATTTTCTTGGATAATGACTTTATGGAAAATATTTTTTAGAAATGTCGCATTTTTTGTAAAACAAACAGAACCTCAATTTTAAAAAAAATTATAAGTTTTTTTCACTAGCTTTGTATTGCATAAAATGTTTTAGCAGTATAATTTTAAAAAAAAACCATAAGAAACAAGTATTCCTAGATTAGGTTAAATATAAAAGTGTTTTAGCAATATGGGTCGGGTCGAGTATAGGTTGGGTATGGGTCGGGTCGGGTATGGGTCGAGATATTTACACTATGAATAAATGGGTCATAAACGGGTTAATGGATCAATTTGGATCGAACCATTTATGACCCGACCCGACCCACCCGTTTAACAGGTCTAGCGACACGGCATCGGTAGGGGAAGCGGCGGTGTTGTTGGGGTTGGGATGAGGTGGTAAGCGGCGCGGCTAGGAGTGAACAAGAGCGAAAGAGAGTGTGATGGTTTGTTTGGTTGTGTGGGGAAGGGAGAGGAGGGGGAGAGGTGGGGTTTGAGTTTACCCGAGATGGAGCGGTAATTTAATCTTCGTAATTGGGGGATTTTTGTTTGAAAATGTAAATTGTAGATTTCTAAGACTTGGGATAGTGTTTGACATAAGTGTTGAATTTGAGCATGGTATCAAAGAGATCGATTCTTTAATATAAGCCCATGAATCTTCCTTTTGAGTCTAGCAGTTGTGATTTTCATCATACCCAAAATTCAAACCTCGGATATCGATGTTCATGTCAAAATAGTTTTGATTGATGTTGCCGTTATTGTTCCAAACGACATAATCCAAATCGGGCTTCAGCAAAATAAACGACATTCAATTCAATTCAGTTTAATTTTACAACATCCAAATAACACGAGTTCTTCGCAATCGACCTAAATTGAAGTGGACTGATCCAAACAAAAAATTTAAAAATTTTCTTCTTTTTTTTCTCTTTTTTTTCTTTTCTTGAAGCAAAGAACTTCTAAAACTTAAAAAAAGGCTCTCTTTGCTCGTGGCCGACTGGCCGTGGCCAAGGAAGAAAAGAGACGTTAGGAATTGTAACGGCTACATTTTTCACTTCGAACAGCCCCCGAAACACCCCCCATCCCCTTTTCCTTATCCCTCCGTCTCTCTCCTCCGATTCTTTCCATCTTCTCCACCTTCCTTTCTCTCTCTCTCTCTCTCTCTCTGCGCTTTGATCGCACCTTGAACGATTCATTCAAAGCAAGAACACCACCGAATTCACGATCTTTCTCTCCCCTTCTTCTTCTTCTTGGGTTTTTCCTACCTTAAATGGCGCCCACGCCCACGCCCACCCCCTCCTCCTCCTCCTCCAAGTCCAGTCAACCGCACACCGCCTCAAAGACCCCTCAGTCCAAGCACCGCCTCCACTTCAATGGACCCAGATCCGCGCACCCGTCCCCGCACCCCGGCTCGGCCCAGAAAGAGGCCCCGGCCGGGGATCACCCCGTCGAGGTCGTCGGCCGGATCCGGGACTGCCCGGATCGCAAGGAGAGGCCCCCCTCCGTCCTGCAGGTCAACCAGGACGGGCGGACCGTCCGCGTCCGCGCGGAGTTCGGGTACCGCGACTTCAGCCTCGACGGGGTGTCCCTGTCCGAGGAGGAGGATCTCGACTCGTTCTACAAGAAGTTCGTGGGGTCGAGGATCGACGGGGTGAAGCTGGGGGCGAAGTGCACGATAATGATGTACGGGCCCACGGGGTCGGGGAAGAGCCACACGATGTTCGGGTGCTCGAAGCAGCCGGGGATCGTGTACCGGTCGTTGAAGGACATTTTGGGAGAGAATGGGGAGGAAGGCGGGGCGAACGGAGGGCAATTGGGGGTTGGAACTTTCGTGCAAGTTACTGTTTTGGAGATCTATAATGAGGAGATCTATGATCTGTTGTCGAGCAACGGAGGAGGGTTCGGGGTCGGGTGGCCCAAGGGTGGTTCGTCGAAGGTAAGTTTCGATTTTTTGATGGATTTACATTTCTGGGTTTGGTGTCTCTTCTCTGTGTGATTTGAGGAATTTATATGTTTTTAATGTTAGACATTCAGCTATCCGTGTGCTTCTGAGCTGTTTGCTGTTTGGTAATTTAGTATAATTGGTGTATTTAGCTTAAATCGTAGAAAGATTGCAAATGAGACCATTTTCTGTTGCTTATGATTTCTATAAGAACTAAAAAGTATCTGGGATTATGAAGTAAAAGTTTTAACATAGGAAAGGTAAACAAGGGTGCCCCTGTTCACTTCTAAATGTTTTTTTTATTGTGCTAAAATCATTTGACTTTGTCCTTCTGATAGTTTGGAAGTAGCATGATAATCTTTATACGATGGATGTGAGTCGGTCATAACAATGTACGAGATTTAACAACAGCATATTGTGTCCTAGCTTAGCATGTGTCTTCTGGCAACTTCAGGTAAGACTCGAAGTGATGGGGAAAAAGGCGAAAAATGCAGCATTTATCTCGGGTAATGAAGCTGGGAAGATTTCAAGAGAGATTCAGAAAGTGGAGAAGCGGAGGATTGTTAAGAGCACGCTCTGCAATGAGAGAAGTTCTCGAAGCCACTGCATGGTATGAATCTTTTTAAACATGGATTATCAGTGACATATAAGAGTCAAGAGACAGTTGAAAGTGAACTTATTGATTGAATTTTGTTCAGATTATTTTGGATGTGCCTACTGTTGGGGGACGGCTAATGCTTGTTGATATGGCTGGTTCTGAAAACATTGAGCAAGCTGGCCAAGTTGGATTTGAGGCCAAAATGCAGGTACTAAGTACATTTTATTAGGGAAAGGCTACAAAATTTTACTCTGCAGCTTGAACTTTTAGTCTAGTATCTTCAAGTTACTAAAGTATTCTTCCTCTTGATTTAGACTGCAAAGATCAACCAAGGTAATGTAGCACTGAAGAGAGTGGTTGAATCTATTGCTAATGGTGATTCACATGTGCCCTTCAGAGACAGCAAATTAACAATGCTTTTGCAGGTGAGCATATTGTTTCGGTCGATTGATAGTATGATTGTTTTCTTTCTTATGTCTTATATATATTATGGATTCTGAATTATTCCTTTTGTTTAGGATTCTTTTGAGGATGACAAATCGAAGATTCTTATGATACTATGTGCAAGCCCAGACCCAAAGGAGATACACAAGACAATTTCCACGCTAGAGTATGGAGCCAAAGCAAAATGTATTGTTCGTGGCCCACATACGCCAGTGAAGGACAGATTTGGAGCTGAAGATTCTTCGGCCGCAGAAATGTTGGGCTCAAGGATTGCGGCAATGGACCAATTCATCTGCAAGCTGCAAATGGAGAACAAGCTCCGAGAAAAAGAGCGCAACGAAGCACACAAAGAGCTCCTTAAGAAGGAACAGGAGGTCGCATCCCTGAGAACGAAACTCCAGCTAGTGGAAGGGAAAGTATCTGGCACGAGTGAGGACGAGATCAACATGAAGGTGAACGAGCGCATACATGTTCTTAAAACCGAGCTGGAAAAGAAATTAGCTGAATGTCAGAGAATGGCTGATGAGTTTGTAGAATTGGAGAGGAGGAGAATGGAGGAGAGGATACGGCAACAGCAAGAGGAAGTTGAAATGCTGAGAAGACGGTTAGAGGAAATAGAGTCTCAGTTGAGGAACGGGAAAGGCAATGAGAACGGGGCTACGGATGGTGAATGGAGTGGCTTTGCTAAGAGGTTGCTGGGATCATTTGCGGATGAGGACCCTGGAATGGTGAAATCTATGGATTTGGACATGGGTGATCAAGACTGTTATGCACGTGAAGTGAAATATGTGGACAACAGAGTCAACCGGTTTGATAGAAGCAGTAACCTCTCGGACCTTCCCAATTATTCAAATACAAGCACTTCAAATGAGGTAGCTGCATACGATGTTTATGGGTCAATGTTCAACGATAGAGTCTGCTTGAGCACAGTTTTCGAGGAAGAAGAAGAAGTCGAAGAGGAAGAGGGACATAAAGAGGCTTCGGATGAAGAAGTAGAGAAAGGAGTGATAGAGGAAAAGAGGGTGTGCTCGATAACTTTTCCCCAAGGACTTTCGAGTGATACAGTGGAACCATCGAACGAGAAAGATGTGGCCTCTTCGAGAAGGTTAAGGATTCAAAATATATTCACACTGTGCGGGAACTATAGGGAGATTTCCCAACAAATTGGAACACCACTAACAGAGAAAAGAGGGTCAGAGAATGCGGATCCCCAAACAACTCCCTTCATCATGATTAAAGAAGATCCGCTTGGGAAGACTCTTACCAAAGAGATTTTGAAGAATACACCTGAGTCTGCAGTTGGCAATCAAATTCTCTCGGAGGTGAACACAAAATCCATATCACAAATCCAAAGCCCGGTGCTTTCAACCGAGCCAAAAGAGATGAAAGTGGCAGACATCCAGGTGACCAAAAGCCGGGCACCTATTGACCTATCACTGGATTTAAAGGAGAATTGTGATCCTTCTAGCGATGGATCTGACGAACAAATAGAGGTATGTGTGAAGTGGGAAGCATCGAAGGAAAACACTGGGAACATTATCACCACGCTTAAGGTCGTGAAGGACGTTACCCTGGCAGATTTAAGGAAGCTCATAGAGATCTATCTTGGAGCAGATAATCAGGCTTTCACTTTCCTTGTGCTTGGGGTATGTCATACAGTCTTCTCTACATTCTATTGGTTTTATGAAAATTTGTTTGGTGGAGTTGTCAAGTACTTCAAAATATATTTAGAGCTGAACTATGGGGAACGTAATAAGTGGATGATTATCTGGTTCTGATGGACATAATGACTCAATGGATAAGTCTAATTCAACAGCACTTTGGTGTTTAATCATCCTTTTACTTGATTTTGGCTCTGATTGCTCTTATATTATTTCTGTTTTTCTGGACCATGTCTTTTATGTGCCTGTGAAAATCCTTGCTAAGATTCTGGCTTGTTATCTCTCATAATTTAGACTGGAATTCCTGAGACCTATATTTATGGATGGTGGACCAAATCGCCAATTAATTGGTTGGGGTGTGTCCAAGTGTTAATGGAATTGAAACATCAACTGCGAGACAGAGAATATCACAAGCTTATATGTACGGCAAACTCTAGGATCTTAGAAGATTTCTAACTTTTGTTCAAATTATGCAGGATCCAACTGGCGCCCCAGTTCCAAGGGAAAAGGAAGGAATGGTGCTGGCAAGCAAGCTTCCTGTGTGGAACAACCAGCTACGCTACCATCTTGCGTGCTTAAGACCGGCCAAGAGCATCCAATGCTTGAACCATGTCCCTCTAACTCCACTAGAGAACAAACTACCACTTGATCCAAATACCCTCTTGACACAAAGAGGCGGGGGTGTTTCATCGCCAAAGTTAGTACAACGCCTCGGTTCTTCTCCCTTGGTCACGCCTCACTCCAGGTTGATCTCGTGATGATATGGTACCTAGAGTAGGCATATTCTGGATGTGTATCTACTGTTGGAATTGAAGGAACTTGAGAGTATATGTGCATGTATACTCTTGCTGGATAATTGATGTGGTGATAATATGTTGCATCTTTTTGTGTATCCCTTCTATATATGGCAGGAAGCAGCTTCTGCTTTAACGGTTATGGCGGTCTTCTCCATTCTTTCCACTCTACAATCTCATACTCGCTATCACAGACCCAACAAGACCTTAGCCATAGAATGAGCAGGACCGTCGATAAGCAATGGGTTCGAATCAGCTGTCAGTTCAAAGGATGCCAGAAACTGGGAGAAATTTGAACATATGTCTACTGTTTCTGAGATATACTTATCGTGCGGAAAACTAGTGAACTCTTCAGAGGATAAAGGGTAATAAACAAGTGAACTTAGGAGCTTGTTCCATAAACAAGTGAACTTAGGAGCTCGTTCCATCAATCAGGAGCATCTAGCTAGCCTTTTTATGTTGAAAGTGATCAACAAAGATTGCAATTTAGATTAAATGGAGGGTGAAAACGTCCAATTATAACATGAATTTGGTTAACTGGTGTCCCATGGGCACTGGATTCGGATATTTGAACAATCATACTAGTATAAGCTACTTTACCCTCACGGCATTTTGCCCCTTACGCTTCCTAGGCATTGCATCACCAATATTTAATCCAAACCGATGATCACATTTTTTCTGTCATTCATGATCCAACGGCTAATAGGTGCATGTCATGATACTCTGAAAGGCATCATAATAACCTAGCACATCATAATATGCGAGCGATGTACATCTTTTGTCTTAATCAACTTCACGTGAAAAATCCCGTTCCGTGATTGGCCGGCTCTGGTGTGCCCTTTATTGCAACAAGAGAAAAAACAAAAGTGAATGGACGATTTTGAAATTTAATTAAGAGTAGCGAGTTGACTAGCGGATCTGAACCCATCAATATGTCTCACAAGATTCCGCGCATCTTTGGATTTGATGAGAATAGTCTAAATTCTAATGCGGCTACGTCTTGTCGGACGATCATTACCGATTATAGTCTTGAATCGTCCGACACTCAAGGTCCTTATGGTGGCATTTTGGAGGATCATTTTGTTCTTGACTCCTCTTCCAGTGGAGGTGGGATGGAGCTCCTCCCATCTCATGTACTCGAGACATCAGAGGAGGAATATGGTGTTGTGGAGGCAAGAGCTTTACATGAGGAAAGCGACGACATCGTGTTCATTTCGAAGAATTTGATCATAGACGGAGTAGGAAGTGATGATTCTGCTCCGGTGAGTGCTTCGCCTTCTCAACTTCCACTCCCAGTGCCTCCAAATTCAGACCAAGAAGAGGTTCTCTCTCTCTCTCTCCGGGGTCTTGATGTCCGTTCCGTCGTTTCTTGATTCTCGATTTCTTAGTGTTTTCACGAGGGGCTTCGAGATTTCTTGCTTTCGACGAAAAGTGAGGACATGTCATGTTGTTCCCCTATTTTCTGAACATGGTCAGTCTGAAGGAGGAAAACCAGGGAGGTCAAGAAAATGGAGTGGAAAAGTACCTTCTTTTTGGTCAAACGCCTTGTTGAAATTGGAAAATCAGTGGATCAGGATTTTTTTTTGGTGTTGCCGTTCCATTTGAGATATTGCTTGGTGAATGTCTAGTTTCGAGCCAGCGGCTAAATTTATTTGGAAAAAAGTTCAGAGGCTTTGTGATTGACTTGTGAGGTCTGTTTTCGAGCACTTGCTGAGTAAAACAGATACCCGGTTCTTTCTCGGTTCTCTCAGGTTTTTTCGACTTTGTTCATTCTATAAAAGTTGATTCGATTGTCTTCCGAATCCCATTTGTTTTTATGGTGCCATAGGTGGATCTGTACGTGAATATCACCAAGAAAGTGGCCCTGAAAGCTCCGAGAGATTTGACCGTGGAGCATATCAAAGCATTGATTCAGGACAAGGAACAAATCGATGATTATAGTCAGCAGCTTTTTTACGGAGACAATCTTCTCGAACAAATCTTCGTTGACTTGCTGCAAGAGCCCACATTTCATTTGGTTTTCCATCCCAAAGATGATGTGTCGGTTATTGTTGACATGTCCAGTCGTAGAGTCACAGTAGGCGCTAAATTTTGGTACACTGTGCGTGATGTCAAAGCCATAGTAGGAGCAATGATGCCTGCGCAGGTCATGAGTTTGCATATAGTCTATCAGGGGAAGCACCTTAGGATCACAAGCCCTTAGCTTGTTACAACATTGTGGATGGCTCGGTCTTACAATTGGTGTCTCCCTATGCTCCATTTCAGATATTTGTCAAGTGCACCTGGATTGGTAAGACTGTGTGCTCTTCAGGTTTGCAGGTCCGACGCGGTCAAGGAAGTAAAGAAGAAGCTCCTTCATAAGCTGGAGGTGAGTATGCCAGCCGAATGGCACCATATTTCTTATGCGGGAAAAAGGCTTGCTGATGACTGGGACCTGCCAAGTTATGGCATCCAGGAGAGTTCGACTCTTTTTGAGATTATCTCGCCTCGTAGCAAATGAAATGCCTTGAGTTGGTAAGTGCTGAGTGAGCAGCATCATAGTTCTGACGGGGCTTTTGAATTGAAAGGAATTTTGAACAGAAAACCGGATATTAGTGTCTGACATTTATGCACCTACTGCTAATTTTCTTCATATGTTATTAGTACATCATGTGCTATGAAGGTCCAGTGTATGTCTCTGCTCTCTTACATTGAATATCTGGACATAGTAGAATCACAGCAGTACATTACATTGCGGGTTATTCTGTTTGATCGATGTTGTTTGCTAAAAGCTCGATATTAGACTAACCTATATCAGTAGAAGTACCCAGGAAAACTTCTACTTTTGATTAGCAGCGCCGCGAAGAACTCGGAGTTAGATCCTGTTTTTTCGCTTAGTAGTTGTTTCGTGATTGCTAAAAATTTCTGCAATCAATTGATGCGAGCAAAAGTTTGAGCACATGATGGTTTTCTTGTATATGATTTCACTCCATCATTATTTGGAAAGAAGTGTACCCACGACAGTAATGGTAAGACGATGAGTGAAGAAATCTTTTGTGGGCAGATGGTCGGTTATTGTTCATATTCACTGGCAGTATGTATTTGGACACCTTTTCTTGTCTGCAAACTGCGATCCATAAGAAAGCAACTCTTTTTAAAGTTGATACCTCGATTCCTTGCATTAAGTTACTTTATTAGTTCCTTTCCCATGAAAACTGGGTTTGCTAGTTTCCCTGCCTGACTTGTTGATAGGAGTCGTGAATGTTGCTTTAGTCTGTTTTGAACCCCAGGATTTGAATTTGGGCAGGGGCAACCTTTGTTGTAAATTAAGTCAGATCGCAACTAATCACAGCAGAATTTTAACTGCTAGAATTGCGCAATATGCGGATAGTTTCTTTGCAGAAAAATGTAAATATAATCACTAATCAAGAGACAAGATAAACGATTGACCAGAAGTTTTATGTGGAAAACCCAGTATAGGAAAAATCACAAGACGCTGGTGTAGGAGCTGCTCTTCTATAATCAAATGATTACAATTAACACTATAATGATGTTTCTCTTTCTTATTATATATTGTTGAAGACTATTGTGATCTCTCTAGAGTATTTATGGTGGACAAAAGAAACCTCCACCCAAGCTCTCTATTTATAGTGGTAAACCTCTACACAAATTAGGAATCCTCCCTAATTGATTGGCAATCACCTTCTAATTAGAAATCTCCCCGATTGATTGGAATTCCTCTAATTGGGCAATCACCATAATTGATTTCATCCCGGTATTCTTCCTACATAAGATTCTTCTTATTTATACTTCTTCCTTTTCATGTAACTACCATAATAGGACTCTTTCCTTTTACATATTCTTGAAGAGCAATCATTGGATATTTCAAATCAACTCCCATGCTTGTTGTACTGCTCCCAAAAATCTTAAGCGCACACATTTAGTTTTTGTCAATGGTCGGAACATGGCACCCTCAAGTTGAGCTAAATGTCTTGATCCAACTCTGAGTTTAAAGCCTTTCATTATCTGAGCCCTCGAGCGGTCTCGGGTTATTTGCGAGCCTACCAAAGTATCCATCATCCACTGACGCAAAGTTTTAGCAGAAAATGTCCTTAGAACAAAAGCTCAACAAGAGAGACAACCTGGTTTCGAAAGATTTTGTTCATGTCCCTACGATTTGCATGTACACTAATCACTAATCACTTTTCATCTTTTCCCTTCTTCGCTCACTTCGGTAACTGTGCAGAGATGACTCTGAAATTTCTTTAGTCCTTGTACATGCGCGGACCTGTAGGTCCTGTACCATGCTCTGTCAATAAGGATGCATAATTGGAAGGACTTTGCCCTTGAGATCTAAGTGTGCTCGTTGACCCGCCACCGGATAAACCCTTTGATTTCTTCCTCCGTCATTGCTTCGACACCATGGCGGCATCATGTGAGGGCAACTCTACCCCAAGACCCAAATTCTGGTTTCTTCTAGGATGTTGGGTGGAGCGCAAGGATTCTTGAGTCGGGGCATCGGTGAACCCGGCTGATTTGTGGTGCCGCCTCACATGCTTCATTGAACCGGAGCCCTGCTTGGAAGGTGAGCTCAGAGGGGAGCCAAAGCCGGTAGATAGTAGGTGGCTCAGTGAGTCCTGTGCGTCCTTAATGTTTCGCAAGAGCGAGTCCTGGCTTGCTGCCCCGCTTTGTTCCATTTCTGTTGCAACGACAAGTTTGCACATAGAGAACAAGATTAATGTTCTTTGTGCTAAATGTGCTAATAATGAATAACTTCTCGTCATTCTATATGCACTTTTAGGAGGAAAGATAGAATGAACCTTCAGATGCCGATTGTATGGAAGGGCTGTGGTCCCTCCCAGAGGATCAACCGGCTGCAATGTGAGTTGCGGAGTTGATTGAAACTTGCTCTTCTGCATTAGCTTGCAGAGAATTAGCTGCTGCCCTATGCTTATTTTCACGATCATGCTTGATGAAATGATTATTAGGACAAAGACTTCACGAAAGTGATCTCAAAGCTATTGCTTTCAATGTCCTCCTTATCAGTTGGAGCGTCCTTGTTTGTATCAGTGATCGTCAAGAAGCAATACCATGCGAAATGGAAGCTGGTTTTGAAATGTCATTAGAATGCATCATGGATTCGAGTATCCATGAGTT